AGCACTGATATGACTTGGCACGGCTGACGGTAAATGCAGCGAGAAACCGACATGACTGGCGGTGACTGACAGCGCGCACTGACATAAGTGACGGTGACTGACAGTGAGGAATGGCCTGGCTGACGTGGCTGAGCGAGAACCGACATGATGGGGTGACTGACGAGAGACTGACACGAACGGTGGTGACTGACAGCAAGGACTGGCATGACTGGTGGGACTAACGCGAGGACCGACATGACTGCGGTGATGACAGCGAGGACCGACATGATAAGGTGATGACGAGCAGAACTGACATCCACTGAATGCAAACATACCTATTTCTGATGACAACAGTACCGATCATTCCTAAGCCTTCACCAGACGAATCTCGCACACATGTACGATGCTCCTTACGTTTGTACAAGGTACCATTGAATGAGTGCAGAGGTCATGGCCACCGCAAAAAATGGCGATGTTTGAGCAGATAACTCGATATTTCCCATATGTTCGTTCATCGTAGCATGCCACAGGTCCTACAGATCGCACTGCCTAATCGTTATGGAATCCCCATTAAAAAACGTGTTACGGCCGACGCCAAACGAACTTGGCGTCGGCTGAAGTGGTCGGGTCGGGTCGACCGCCATTAACCGATTCAGCTCCTGAGTTTGTTCACTGGCAAACAGCCGCATGCTCAGTGCGTATGTATAGGTCGTGGAGCCGGCTGCCATGAAGCCTGCTCTTCAAACCTTGACAGCGTCTTCGAAGCGCTATATTCGGTATCACCGGTCCCGCCTGGCTGGGATATCATGCTTCAAAGTCTTGTTCGGACCTAAAGCCATCAAAAGTTTGCATGTCTTGGGGTGATCAATCTTTAAAATGCGGACACGTTTTATGCCAGTGTTGACCTGGCAATGAGAAAGAAAAGTATTTTCCGCGTCGTTCTTCCGCCAGTAAGCATTGGACTTGATGTTCCCGCATTCAAAGTCACAGCCTCGTCCGTCCTTCCGCATACCCGTTATGACCACTGCTTTTTATCATCGATTATCACAGGGTAAACTGCCGATTCGCGTGTTTTCGCCCCGTCTACATTATTACGCCGCTCCTGATGTCACAACATGGACGAGGTGGAATAAGAAAGGAAACGAGCGTAACTAACAATGTGCACTATTTTTATCAGTTATTGGATGATGGACTACATTTCCTGAAAACTGGCCTCGAAGTGTATTTGTATTTGCATTCCATTTATGATTCAGCAGTAGCCTACGGCCAGGGTGCCAAGCGGCATTTCATATTTCACAGGATAAAGCACGAATGAACGCCGTGATACAACGGCTAACATTTCGCCGCCAATGTACGGGCAGCCATGGTCACTCACCTGTCTGGAGCCGCACACGCCGTTCCAAGGCTGATGCGGAACACTGCCGCGCCAGGGAGATAATATCCGGTAGCACCCGAATGTACGTGGAACCGCAGCGCCTCTCCCCAGCCTCGGTTCCTGACCATCGAATGTGCAGTAGCTCGTTGCGAAGCGCACTTCACCATCTGGGTGAAAGGCGGCTGCGAGCGGTCCGGACCCTCTGCACCCTGTGCTCCAGGCAGTGTGCAACATCACCCCACTGCTACAGTAGGGTCACTTTATGCATCTGCTAAATAAAAACTAGGTTATGGGCGCCATATGACCAACGTGCTCGGTGCGCCCCAAAGCCCAGATCATCACCATACAGGGGGTCCGTTAGGTAGTACACCTTAATCGCGTACACTCGCAGTATGAAATTGGGTCATGGGCAGAGAGTTGTTGCAGTCTGCCTGTATCAACAATGCAACAAAAATGGACTCAGTATCATGGCAAGTATGCATGTGAAAAATTAACAAGTGAAAAGCACGCCAACTGTAACCGATTTTCCCTATGTCTACCAGGTTTTGCTTGCAGGCAGGCTGGCTCCTTTGCGTAGGCTGAGGAAACTAGCCAGTGACTTGCACCTTTTTAGGAGGTGGACGAGGGTGTTTTAGTTTTAGGGCATCAAAAGAAGAAATATGCAATTGACTCTGTATCAAGCTGGAATAACACTAATTGGATGATGGTTCAAACGTCAGTTGCAAAAAAAATACACGGGTCCAGATACGGAAATGTCCTTGAAGCATGCAGAAGGCGCGCAAAGTTTAACTGTGCACCATGTAATCCCTGGATTCCGGAGGGAGCACCACGAGCACACTCTGATTCCACGCCTCGAGTTCCAAAGCCGCAATGTTACCAAAATCGGGACGACATATCGGCGCAATCAGATCAGAAGTGGACGCCATTTTATCTTCTGCCGTGAGTCCGTAAGGCTCTGCCAAACGAGGTAACGTAAAGCTTTTGCTGAGTTTTTTTCTCCGCAGATAAAGGCTGACTTATGTCAAGGAATGTCATATTGACGTCACCGTGAGGTCATTCGATTCCGATATCGTGCGGCGTTAACATTCGCGCCTTGGATGACACCGGATAGCTGGTTTTTTGCTTGCTTTCACCAATCCAGATTTAACCTACAGGACTTTCGAACTGACGGCCAGATGATTATACTACCGTAACGGTGTTTGCGTGGAGATGGTGGGACTGAAACATCATTGTCTCTTCGCTGCAATTACCTGATCTAACAAGAGAGCTGAAAATGTGCCTTGTCTCTCAAGGTTTGGAAGCTTTCTGCCTTGAAATCGACATCACTTAAATAAGTGGTGTTGAGTTCAAGGCAGCTACCATTGTGGGTGGACTGCGGTGGGAAAGTTGGTGAAACAAGGATGGTGCCACGAGCGCATTCCAATGACGATGTTAAACAAAACAAAACGGTGATCTCAATGTACGTTTATGTGGCCGCTGTTAGACCTGTCATACCACGTTTCTGCAGGGGCACACCATCGCAGAGCTTCAGAGATGTGTGATACGTTTTAGCCATAACGTACCGGCTGCGTCTCCATGCAAAGCCAGCCTTCTGTGTGTCATCACGAGAGGTTCCGCTGATGGTCTACTGGTCTTCAAAATTAAGCGGTTAGCTATTGCGTGTAAAATTTTCTCCCTGTACAGCATAATCTGTGTTCATAGCTGAACTGCATTCGCTGCTTGACCTCAGCGTCACCACGTGAACTTTTCAGCATGCGCATTTCCGTGAAAAAGAAAACTTAGCGTGCATGGTAAAAGCAATGCTAACATCTCCCAGCCATCAATAGGAAAGAAGCCTTCATCTGTCATAGGTGACCATCATACCCCTCCTCGCCTCCTACCGCCCCCCCCCCCCCCCCTCCCCGGCGAATTGTTGAGGTAACGGTGTCTGGGAAACCAAAGGTACGGGGTTCGATTCCCGGCGGTGTCTGCTAGAGACAGGAACACCTTATAGCCTCAGCAGCTGAGTGTGACGTAAAGGCCCAATAACAGAGGCGGAAGTGCATGTATGTCAAACGTTGTAGTGCGGGGCATGGGAGGTGGATAATAAGTCCAGAGAAGCATTTCACAATATGGGTTTCATTGGACTGTGTGGATTTCAGCACCATTTCGCTCTACGGCTCCGACTCAGCGTATTTTATCACTTTTTATTTTTATCACTTTTTTCAGGAGCGTATTTTATCACTTTTTCAGCTCATTGCAATGCACCAAAATTTAAGCGCCGAAGTACCACTAAAGACCAAGGCCGTAGAAATTACGAACGTCGCAAGCAGCAAATGAACAAACCGCCTTTTCGGCTATATTGTGCATACATCATTACAGGGATAATGCGAAGCTATCACAAAGAGTGGATGGTCCACGGCTACGTAATCAGAACGTTTCTAAAAGTTCATGCGGCAAAACCACCGGATGACGGTCCCTCAATAACAAAACCTTTGTAATCATGACATTCCCAGCGGATATCGGTGTACCGCCATAGCTAACACTGCAATTTCCTTCCATCGTTAAACCTATCCCCATGTGCCTAAGTTTAACGTAATGCATAAAGTTCGGTGCGACGACAAAGGGGATCCTGTAGCGGTAATTGGCCACATTGCCACCAACATGCAGTCGAGCGCGCCTGTCACTTGCATGCAATCGACGTTTGACAGCCAAACCGACCATTCCTATGTCAAAAATGTGCAAAGGTGTACAAAGGTGTCTCTACGCGGGTGTGACTGATCAGATAAACGTCTGATGATCGAATCCCCAACCATAGTCACACAGACGGATCAAATCGGGAGAGCGAAGCCCGCTCGTCGTCCATTCGTTCCAATCGGCCGACTCTGGCGGCGCTCGCTCCAGCTTGGAATGACGCTTGGCGGAACCAGAGTTTCTATCGCATCAAATGGAACCGCTGCGAACGCCGCCGAACGGACCGCGGCGGCTCTGGACCAGAACACTTCGCGCAGAAGATCCCTTCGAGACGCTGCCCGCACCGGGACGCTTCTCCGCCACTCGGCGCGCGCGCCCGCGTACCGTTACCGTCGGCACGGCACAGCTGATCTCGCAGTCCGGAGACGCCGCCGTCCGCTGACAAGACCGACGCGCTGTGATGGCCGTGAATGCGCCGTCATCGCCGCCGAAAAAGCGGGTTCGTTGACTGGGAGGCGGCGGGAGAGGGGGCGGGGTTTTTGTACGGCGCCGGCGTCGCCCGCCGACGGCGCAGACTCGTGATTCGCGACGCACAGCGTGAGGCCTGGGTTTCGACACAGCGGCTCTCGCTGTGCAATGCCACTCATACGGGCCGAGGGCGAGCGCGGATTGGGTGAACGACGGAATGACGGCTGACCTTCAGACGACACGGGTGCATTGCACGCGGCACGTTCAGCTGACCGGATCAGCACCCTCAACGGCCCGGTTGCAGGAGATCAGCATCGATCACCACGGGATCTACCAGCCGAGGCGACAACGCCGAAGTACCCGCACACCCAGCGCAGTGCCTATGACAAGCTGACATGCTGACAGTAACGAGGTGGCAAGTTGCCAAGCTGATTGTGGCAACTCTCAGGAATGCGCTGCTAGCAGCGCGAGTCTGAAAGCGTCAAAAGCACGGGCATTTTTATTGCATTGAAATCGCTTTAGACCTATGCGTGCGATTCAGCAGTCTAGCCCGAGACGTAGCCACGCGGCGTGCTTCCAGCTTCTACCACGGACATACTGGTGCTACTCATGAGGCACCATACGGTGGGCCGTTGAGCTGCACGTTGCGAGACGCGATCTTCGAGCGCTTGCGAAGTTTTAAGCCTGCTGAGGGAAGCTTATCGCGTTTCATGGAACGTTTCGGAGTTTAAGAGGGAAATGACGGCACATCGCAGTGCCGAAATAATCCCGGATCATGGCATCAATCCTTTCCCTTGTCAAGCGTCCTCTTCAATGGCCGAAGTTCAGCTCTCTCTCGTTCTCCCCGGCGCTCCTTTGGCGCTGCCTGATAGTCGAAGAAGGCCTATAAAGGATCGCTAGTAGCGCGTTGGTGGAGCCAATGAAAGGAAACGCTTCGCGGCCGCTGGTCACGCCGATTACCCCGTGATCGGAGAAACGCTGCATTGGGCACATGGGGCCACACTGCAGAAGAGGACACGGTGCCTGTAGACATTCCGGTGGTGGACACTGCGTGTGTGAACACTACGGCAGTGGACACTGTGCATGTGGACGCTATGGCCTTGGGCAGTGCGTTGTGGACACTGCAGTGGTGAACACTGTGCACGTGGACGCTACGGCGTTGGACTCTGTGCCAGTGCACACTACGGCGGTGGACACTGTGCGTGTGGACACTACGGCAGTGTACACTGTGCGTGTGGACACTACGGCGTTGGACACTGTGCGTGTGGACACTACGGCGGTTGACACTGTGACACTGGTCAACACACTGCGCATGACTCACATTTCGGGACACACAGGTCGCATGCAAAGCGATGAACAACAGCCCGGAAGCGGTAACCTTATCTCGGAGAAAGCCTCTTGCGGCGGCTCATTTGATCACAAAAGAGACGCAGATACGGTCGCCTCCCTCCGAGGGTAACGGGGCTGAGGCGGACCTCGGATATTGTCCCCCATAAATTACACATCCTGCGTGTATTCAGCTTGAGACATCGCGATAAATGGCCACACGTACGGAAAGCAGCATAAATTAGACTCGAATAACTCGGTCGGCGTCGCAGCCTACGACAAAAACGACAATAAGTCACTTGGGCTAAGCGGACGCATAAAACACTCCAAATCACAGATACACGTCAGACTGCTTTCAGCATAAATAACACAATGGGTACCTACCATCCTATGACGAATTTACGGGAGCTCGGGGTTGTCTTAAGTATGGGAACATGATGACAACACCTGCCGTATTGAAGCAGTTCAAGATATTTAGCTAAAATGTTCGCATCGGCCAGATTTTGTCCCAGTCCGGAACTTATTTACATCGCTTAGGTAGCCACATTCTGCCCAGCTGTGGCCGACACTGTTCGCCAAACAGAACAGCTTTGTCTGACTAGTTCACATTTCACATATTCGTTGCATCGCGCACTCGGTGCATTAACATGCTGCAAAACACATCGTCGTCGATCTATGTGAAACAGAGCAGATCTCCACATGAGCACAGAACTAGCCACATCGCTCTCGAATGTCGCTGCCTGTTTCTCGGGCCGGCGTGAGTCGGCGCGGCTCGGCCACTCACACCGGTCGACAGAGGTCTCCCGTGTCGAAACCGCTCAGCACCTTGCGGGCTGCGTCAGTCCGGCGGCTTTCACGGCTTTCACAGATCACACTCGAACGCAGCGCCGGTGGCAAACACATCTCACGCGCGTGCCGCCTCTAAAACACGCCCCCCGCCTGAGCGACGAAAACACCGGGTGCATCACAACACCGCCCGCGGCGCGCCGCCCGGCCCACGCGTCCGGCGTCGTGACCCGTGACCCGCGACCCGTCAGCGGTCACTATGGCACCGAGCGGCCCAGCGCCCTCACGTCAGCTTGCCGCCCACGAGACTCTGCAGCGTGTAGAAACGGTCCATGTCCGAGGCGCCCACGCTCGTCACGTGCTGGAAGCAGCACGGCTGCGAGATGTCCTCCTTGCGCGGTCGCACGTAGCGCTCCACCTTCTTCTTCCTGCGCTTCTTCTGCGCCGGCCCCGACAGGCTGATGTTGGCCGGATCGGCGCACAGCGTCTCCAGCTGCGCCTGGAACGCCTTGGCCGCCTCGATGTCGTCAAAGCTGAAGCCGACGCGGTGCCGGTGGTCTGTCGACAGGTGCATAGTGTGGAAGCTCG